TATAACTTTGTGATAATATTTTTGTCGTTTTAATCATGTTAGCTCCATTGTCTGATGTAATTTAAATAATTTGATTCAATCGGATGTTGTACTTCTCCAAAATAGGTATAATTTCCTTGGCCAGATTTTTAGATGTGCTTCCACCTGCGCCTTTAAGTTCCGACATGCCCAAAATCCGGGATATAATTTTATCTTCATTAATAAATTTCGCACTAATTCCAAAAATGTTGCGGTTAAGCCGAGTTGCGCTATCTATTTTCAAAGACAGTAATGTTGTAGTAGATGTTGACAGACGCCACATGTTGTAGCATGTGTTTGCATTTACTGCTATTTAGCTTAAAGCTTTTTCCGCTCTTTTCTGCAAGACCGTGACAAATCGGATCTATTATATTTCGCATGTTTTCCGAATTCAAAACATTGAAAGGTACGCTTTCTTCTGTTACCAGTCCTATGTACGAACGAATTAATTGTATTTTGTTAATTTTAACTTTAATTATTTATTTTCTGGATTGTGATATGTTTTCTGAACACATGGACTCCTCGTCTTGATCATCGATTTTTATTTTGTGCACTCCCACAATATGTTTCTTTAAATTAAATGTGCGATCTTTCTTTAAAGACCGATTGCATGATTTGCACTGCGTTGTTGACCCATTGTCTTCAAAATATTTTAAAATATTAATTGTGTTCTTTCGGCAAGCCATGTTTACTTTACTGCGCTCTTAATACAATTAAATCAGTACATGACCATGCCTACGAAAACAAAGTGTAGCGGTAACATTGATATGCGGCAAAATTCGGCGAAATAAGAGCAACTACAAAAATTCTACCAGAGCGACTACGTAATTGCTACGAGAGCGACTATGCAGTTGCTACGAGATCACAATATTATTTTCTTTGGCTCTGCTCTCATTTCACTATCGATGCTTGTGCTATTGCTACAACTACAGCGTGTCGCGCATTTTCTTGCTATTGCTATTGCTCCGTGCTCCGACGTTCAGTGCTACAGAGCAGAGCAGAGAGCAGCCGTTTTGATTTTGTGCTCTCTGCTATGCTACATAGCCGATCGAAAACAGAGCAATAGCGGGAGCAAAAAAAAAAATACTCTGATGTAGCATAGCATTTTCAATCACTGGTTGTCGTGACAAAGCGTCCGCCACACAGTTTTCCTTTCCTGGCTTATACATGAGCTTTGCACCGCTTTCTTCAATGCGGGCCTTCCAGCGCTTGAGTTTTGAATTAGTATTCTTATCAGAAACCGCAAATATAAGGGGCTGATGGTCCGTAAATATGTTTATGTCACTTTTTCCATAGAGATAGTGACGAAGACTTTCCGAAGACTATTGTTAGTAATTCCCTTTCATTCGTGGCATAATTTAATTCCCTATCCTTCAACGTTTTGGATATCATCGTTATAGGCCTATTGCCCTGAGGCAACACTGCACCTATGCCAAAGAATGAAGCATCAGTTTTCAGATCAAATGATCGCGTAAAAGCCGGGTAATGGAGGATAACGTCCTCTGAAGCAAGAATATTTCTAAGCTTGTCAAAAGCGCTTAACTGGGACTCATCAAAGCTCATAGAAATGCCTTTAGAGCGGTATGCCACCTTCACCCTTCAGTAACTCTGTCAAAGGTCTCGCTATTGATGCGAAATCTTTGATGAAGCATCGATAGTAACTCGCTAAGCCCAATAACGATATCAGCTCGAACAAATTACATGGCTGTTTAAAATCCTTGATGGCGTTTACCTTGTTCTGGCTTGTCCTAGTACCCTCCTTTGTCACAACAAAACCGAGGAAGTCAACACTTTCTTTAAAAAAGTGTGACTTTTGCCTGGACACTCGCTTGTTGGCGTCCTGCAGGCACTTTAAAACATCCGCAATATGGTCAATATGAGATTCTTCAGTTTCTGAAAAGACAATAACGTCATCCACCTAGACGTAACAGATCCTTCCTATTTCCTCCCGGAGGACATCGTCTATTGCCCTTTAAAAAATGCTTGAGGCATTCTTTAGTCCGAAGGGTAGCCGGCAGAACTCGTACTTGCCTCCATTGACCGAAAAATAAGTTTTCTCTCTGTCCAATTCCGCAAGCTCTATCTGGTGGTATCCAGACTTAAGGTCGAAAAGGGTAGGGTAGTGAAGGGGTCGTGAAAAATTTGACCCTTCCCAGATTCGACAGTATCATATTTATACTCGGCATGGGGTATCTATCGGCCATAGTTTTCAAATTTAATTTTCTAAAATCGACTTCTAAGCGTTTTTCAGACGATTCCGAAGCGTCGGAGCCCTTTTTATCTACAACCCATATGGGGTTATTGTAGAGAGACCGAAATGGTCGAATAATGTCATATTTTAGTAAGTCCTTGATCTCCTGATTGACAAAATCGGCAGCACCCATCGGAAACGGATACAGTTTTGAATAAACTGGCTCATTATCCTCTGTCCGAATAGTCGCTACAACATTTGTGTTGAACGGCAATTTCTTATTTGGGTCAGTATTTAGACATCATCTGCTGAAAACTTCCTTGCACTGTTGGGGGCACGACAATATACTCAATATTCGTAAAGTTAACCTGAGCGCATTTTTGAAAGTGCAGATCCTCACGTCCCCCATTAAATCTAATAGAATTGCTTTTAAGATCAATGGTCCCACCTACTTGCGCTAACAGGTCAAGGCCAATTATGCCGTCAAAAGTTGTAAGTCCTGGTAATAAGAAGAAAGGGCTTTCCACATCAAAAAGATAAAACTGGCATTTGTGTTCTATTTTTTCGACCCCATGAAGCGATTTGACAGTAAATGGAGAATCAACGGGAATTGAAGTCGGCCACCCAATCTCTTTCTTAATGTAGCTTTTAGAGGCCCCCGTGTCAACTAGAAACTTTCGTGGTTCCCCCGCTACTGTTCGTTGGACGAACGGAAGCAGGGACGATCCCCCTAAAAAATGTACGGCATCACTTTCATAGCCCGTTTTTCCTTCATCGTCTTTGTCATCTACCGCATCACTGGCAATCTGATTATAATAATCCTCGGTTTGACCACCCTTATCTTCTTCAAACAGATTATTAACCCTTTGACGCCTAAAGTCAGACAATCTTTGACAGTTCATCGGGCTCTTTTGTAAATTCTGTGGCTGTGCATTCAGTGCCTGCATTGCGGAAGAACCCTGAGAGCGCTGAAAGTTTGTCGCTTGACGGAATTTAGACGATGTTGGATCTACGTCCATCTTCTCTAATGGTGTATTATCAACAACGGTTCGTTGACCTTGATCCCTGGTAAAATATGGATTTTTCCACGTTTTTCTATGGGTGCGGTTCGTAACCTACATATATGGTCGGCCATCTACAGGTTAATTGCACTAAACTCTTCTGACAATTCTGCTAATTTTCAGCCATTTTTTAAGCCAATTAGAAGATTTATTAAGTTAAATACTAAGTTGTTGGTATTTATGAAAAATAGGATATTATATGTATGTAACAGCAGAAGAGAAAAATTAATTTTTTATACCGGGTACTCGTACAGTCTTTATGGCTCTACGATCCCATAAAGTATATATATTTTTGAAGTATATACGTATGCATATATTAACAACCTAATTAATATAGCCATTTCAGTCTGTCCGTATGAACGCGTCGATCTCAGAGACTGTTAAATGCAGAGCTTTAATAATTAGAATGAAGTCTCCTATGATTGCAGCACATGTCAAGTTTATTTCCAATTTTTGACACGCTCCCTCCTGCGTATTCTAAAAAAGTTTTGAATCCAAACTATTTCTATAGTAATGAATACAATAAAACAAATACTGAAAAACAATATTCAGCCAAATCAGCAAAACAGATTTTTGGAGGAGGTATCCACGTAGATCAAACATGTGTTCAAATTTTGCAACGCTTATTTCCTCCCTTATAACTGAAATCCTCAAAATTGAATCCTGAAAACTCAAGCCCCCAAAACGGCAGTTCAAAAAAGTGTTTTAAAAAATGTTTTCATGTCAAACTATTTATATGGCAAATATATACATGCATACCTACAAATCTAAACTCAGCCGAATCGGACGAGTTTTACAGAGTTACAGACTTTTTACTCTGCTTCCCTCCTTTTAGTTATTATTACCCCAAGCGAAAGAAATGTTGTAAAAAGCCTTTCTTTTGTAACCCTTTCTAAAAGCGTATATTCTTTTTTATTTTTTTTTTTTTAAGTTAAACAAGAATCCTGAATATCAAGATTACATAATTAAAATATTAAGGGTATTTAAATGTCATTATTTTTTATGAAACTGAAAACTAATGCGCCTTTTTTCAGAATATGTTGGTCGTGATGCTTCTGCGTATTTAGTTTCAGTAGAGTGTCAAGCTTCGCATGAACGTTTTGCAAACTTCACAAATGTTTAAGATACCCTACTCTATGGGTTTAACCTACGGTGCCTTTATATTCAAAAAACTTTAATTTTATTAAAATATTTTTCTTTTCTTTTCTTTGAAAAAAAAAGTTCAAAAAAAATTGAATAAAAACTGGTACGTTTAAAGGTTTAAGAATATGATTTATTTTTTTTTAATGTGTGATGTTTATAATTTCTGATAAACTTGTGTTTTAGATTTTCATTGTTACTCATGTACATAAGTACATATGTATATTTAAACAAAAAAATCTTATTTTGCACATTAAATACATATGTGTGTATGTTAACATACTTATATCTACTTATATGTATGTATATAAATACAAAATATGGAAAGTGGTTCTTTATAATTAGCACTATTCTACATGCATACATACATACGTATGTATTTATGTAAATATGTATGCTTGATGCCGTTCAAATAAATTCAAAACATTACAAAGGTCCGTTTCAAATTGTCTAATTTTATTATTATTTTATTTTTTAAATCCGATTTTTAAATTTCAAACTGACATTTTTTGTGCTACATATAATTTTTAAATGTATGTATATGTTACAAATAATTTATTCTCAAAAATTTAAAAAATTTTTTGTCTTAGGAAGATAAGTAGAGCACACTTTGTTGGATTTTGGAACTAAGGTAAAGCTCGCACCAGTTTTCATTTGTTTTTCCAGTTTAGAAGCCCAAGCCTCTAAGCTTTTGGGATTCTGTATACAGATTCTTTGTAAACAACTTGGGCTGTTCCAGTACTAACGTTTTAATACTGGCTACTGATCTATATCTGATCTATATATCAAATAAAAAAAATTCCATGCCAATTTTTGAGGAAAAAAATGCAATATAGGTACATACATATATAAAACTATACAACAAAAAGAAAGGAAAGCTAACCTTGGGCGGATCCGAATTTGATTAACCCCTGCTGATAAAACCGGATATATGTACATCGCAAACCTCGGATATAGTTGGTCGACTGTCATGAGAATAGCGTTATGAGAATATCATACCAAAGTTGGTATTTTTACCAAATATCATTTCCGCGGAACATGCTTCGTTCACTTCCAATAAGACGAGGTTTGTTCCACGCCTGGAATTGCCTTATCCCAATCTAGCTTAATACGATCCAGTGTTCTACCAAAAAGCAGGAACCGAAATTTTAAATGGCAGTCTGACTTCAAATCGACCTGAACGCAGTACAACAGTATTCTTCTGATAATATTCCTCACATATCTCTTGTTCAGGCAGCAACAGCTTTTCTTCTTCCAACGTCTAGAATTTTTTTTTAACTGATATCTATCGAGAGTAATTTTTCTTAGCAATTCAGGCTAGGGACAAGCTGTTGAGAAGTTAAGGAATATTCCATATATTTTCCGGAAACTATCCATCCAGGGAAAGTGTTTTGCAACAGTTTGATAAATGACAATTTATACACAGTGAGGCTGACTTTACAAGTTCAAGTCGTTGCAAGCTTGTTTGTTGTTGGCAGCGGAGCAAGCCAACGAACTTCAATTAGGTTGCTTGCTCACCCCAATTTTATCCTGTTTTGGTTTTACAGTTTCTTCAGCGGACAGGTGCTACGATTGAATATTTTTTCGAAATCGGTTCACAGCGGCAATTCCACATAATCCAGTGATTCTTCCCATTTTTGTCTGGATTGTCTAGATTGTCTTTTGTCTAGTCACTGAATCCACTCTACTCGAAATTGAATAAATAATCAGCGAGCTCGCAATTTTAGTGTCCTTCCTATGGATAACAATGATCATAAATCAATGACACCGTGTTGATGAGACCTCTCAGCGACGACGCATAGGGCTTTCGGAAAGCTAAAAAAATTTGATAATGTGGTTCACAAAGATAAGAAATTCGTTATAATAAATTTTTATAGACTAGCGACAGCTTTGTCATAATTACTCTCGGTGACTTGGAATGCTTTGATGGTTCCTAAGGATTCATCAGAACTCGGAATGGAGATGTTCTCTAATTGCGACAAGCTATTCTGTATTTTATTCCACGTTGTTTCCAAGTGTAGTGGTATTGACTCCAATCTAGCTTAATTAACCAAAGTTCCTGTAATAGGATCTTTCCTTAGATGAGTATGGGGCTCAATAACCCGTTGCATTACAGCACGACGAGCGAACGGACTACACTGCGCTACAATAATTGCAAGGTTGTTTATTGTTGGCAGCGGAGCAAGCCAACGAACTTCTATTATGTTGCTTGCTAAGCCCAGTTTTATCCTATTTTGGCTTAACAGTTTCAATCAGCGAACAGATCGATACACAATTGTACTAAACGATGTACTATTTGGTCCTATGATAAAGGGAAACTTCTAGTCCGAAAGCAAAAAGGCAATTTTTTTAAAGGCAATTTTGGTGCACTTTGTGTGAGTTTATTCCATTCCCTTCCATTGAGTTTATTTTTTTCTTTTGCACACTGTTTTGTAAGTTGTGCTGAAAAAAATGTTAAAATCCACAAAAACACGAATAAAAGGCGAAAATTTCAGCTTATGTAAGTTTTTTATATTTTGTCCAAAAATGTGCAATTTTTGATCAGGATCACCTCCTGAGTTGATATGAGCATGTTCGTCTGTCTGTCCGTCTGTCTGTTTCTACGCAAACTAGTATCTAAGTTTTAAAGCTTTCGACTATGAGCTATGAAAGTTTGCACACACCCTTCTTTCCTTTGCACGCAGTATATAAGTCGGAACGGCCAGGATCGACCGACTATATCCTATAGCTGCCATATAACTGATTGATCGAAAATGGTATTCCTTTGGTGTTTTTTTAGTTAGAGAGTTCAAATTTTACATGATAGCTATTTTTGGCAAAATAATGCGACGCACCATAACTAAACGATGGGAATGGTATTTGGTAGAAATACCAACTCTCGTATTTTTGCAGACAGAAGTTTGAGACTTTGTTTTAGATTTTTTATTTTAATTAATTGGTTTTATTATGATATTCTTATATGGATCGACCAACTACATCCGTTGTTTTCGATATATATCCGGTTTTATCTACGAGGGTATATCATCTTCGGCTCCGCCCGAAGTTAGCTTTCCTTTCTTGTTTATTCTCAAGTTCTCGCGAGGAATATAGTTCGTGGAATTTAAAGAGCTCGCACAGTTCGTGGAATAAGAGAGCTCGCAGGGGCAAACTTGAAGCTTCTGAAGTGTACATTTTGCGGTCTTTCAGAATTTTAGAAATGGCTTGTGCATCAAATAGTGGATCATATAGCATTCCTGCATTCATCATTAAGCTTAGAGGCCCAGACCGAAGGGCGCTCGATAAACGATTTATTAATATTTATTAAGCTATTTGTTATTTATAAAGCTAAGAGGAGTTAATTAGAAAATTTAAAATACTTGAGTCCATTGTAGTTCGAACAAAAGACCTTAAGAGGGTCGTGCTGTGCATATGTCAAACTACAATGGCTAAGGAATAGAGGACTAAAATTTCTAGTCCTTCTAGAAATTTAAGCGTGTTAGTAAATGCTGGCTATCTACATACCCATTGATGAGGTTATGTAGAAAAAAAAACACCCAGCATTGTCCTACGATTAGTAAAGGTTGGTAAGCTTATTAGAAGGAGTCTACTACTATAAGATGCTAGGTTCATGTCGTTTCACCTATTACAAGGCTGTGATGTTTCAAACGACAAACTGGAGAATGAGCGGATAACAACTGCAGCAACGGGTAACCGTGCTTTGTATTTGCTGCACTTGCCCGTTGAAATCCCCGATTCGCACAGATACTACAGTTTGGACGACGAAAGATTATAAAAAAGATTATTATTGTAAAACTTTTTTTGAGGTTAGGAAGAAACGTACACGTGCAGGACCAAAAGGGACTTCAGATTCGTGTTCAGCGGTCCAAAATACATGGGGATAGGGTACTCTGATTTCCCAACCCGGACACTTTTTTTTTTTGTGTGGCTGTGCTATTGATGATAAGTTTCTCATTCAGAATATGGATCAAATATTAGACGAACTAGGGAAATGTCAACCTTCTACAACTTTAGATCTGGAAAAAGGCTTTCATCAAATTCAGATGGACCCAGATCATTATAAAAAAACTACTTTTCTACAAAGGAAGGTCATCATGAGTATACTAGAATGCCTTTTGAGCTAACAAATTCAACCGCTACATTTTAGCGGCTTATAAGTAACATTCTTCATGATATAATAGGAACTTATTGCTTAGTGTATATACATAGATGATACATATTATAATTTTTTTAAACTCCTTAAAAGAACACATTCAATGCCTTAAAAAAGGTATTTGTCCGTTTAAGAAAATCAAATCAAATCAAATTAGATAAATTCGAGTTCACAAAAAAAGAGAAAAATAATATGTAGGCCATATAATAACTACTAAAGGAATAAAAGCAGACCAAAATAAAATTTAAGCTATTCATGACTTCCAAATTCCAAGTACTCCTAAACAAGTAAAATTATTTAGAGGTCTTTGCGTATTTTACTGCAAGTTTATTAGAGAATTTGCAAAAATTGCTAAGACAATGACCCAGTGCCTTAAAAAGGGTGCTAAAATAAATACTAAAGATGCCAGTTATGTTGAAACATTTAAAAAATTAAAAACTTTAATAACTAATGATGCAATATTAAGATATTCAGACTTCGAAAAAAAGTTTTAGTTATCAGATAATGCTAGTAATTATGCTTAAGAACCGTTTGTTAAATAAATTACTCAACTATCAAAAAAGAATTATTAGCTAAAGTATTTCCGTCCTATTCGAAAGAAAATTTAAAATAGCGTTCGATCATTAACCACTAATTTGGTTACAAAATATCGAAGAACCTAATATTAAATTGATTAGGGTGTAAATTTCTTTAAAGAAAAAGAAAATAATGTAGCAGACGCCCTATCAAGGTTAACTTAAAATAAAGCACAACGAACAAACAATTAGAAAAAACATATTAAAATATGGGTCATTTCCGATCGTTCAGTTATATGGCAGCTATAGGATATAGTTGGACGATCCTTATGAAATTTGGCCTCTTTAACTCTAAAAACACCAATGTTATACCATTTCCGATCAATCAATTATATGGCAGCTATAGGATATAGTCGGCCGATCTCGGTTGTTCCGACTTATATACTGGGTACAAAGGAAAGAAGGGTGTGTGAAAAGTTTCAAGTCGATAGCTTCAAAACTGAGAGACTAGTCTCAGTCTAGTCTAGACAGCAAAAGCCATTATTCTTAAATTTGTATGCGGATACAATTTTGTAATGTACATAAATGGGTTTTACAGAATAATTAAACCAAATTAATTAAAACTTTAGTTATACTTCCTAATTTACATAACTTCGCAGATGACAGTTTATTTTTTTTATAAAAATAAAAAAAAATACAATGTATTAAAAATATTATAGGAAAATCCAAAATAATAAAAAGGATCAAGATCCTGGAATAAAATGCAAAGCATTGCAAAATTGTTTAGAAAAAAAATTAATTTAGATAAAAACAACTACCAGAAGAACGGCATAGTTGATGTAGAAAGAGTCCATTAAACAATTCATAAAAAATTACGTGTCTTTTTTACGCTTAATGATGCCGAAAAAAAACTAATGAACATTGAGAAAGCCACTTATGTATGTTTACAATCACAAATTAACACATGATACTACAGCAGAGGTCGGCACGGCCCTATCTCGGGGGCATAGGAAATTTCTCTGCCCGAGCTCTGCCACACACACACAGTATACGTGTGTGAAACGTCATGCTCACAGCCTACTTTCTGCTATTCGTTACTAACACTAATGCGGTAAAATCATATCAATGTGTTGGGGTGCCGACCACTGTACTACAGGTATAATTCCTGCTGAAAGATTTATTTTTGGTTTGGATCCTATTAAAAATGTACCTGTTTTAATATTTACATTTTTAAAATACCCAGTAATTATGAACACTATTTGGTAGAAATAAAACAACCTAAAATATTAAATACATATGTACCATTTATAAAATACTTGCTGTCCATCCCGGCTTCGCGCTGGTACTGTTTCGTTTTAGGGTCGGTAATATGTATATAGGATATAGGATATAGTATAGGATATTGTAAGGCAGAGATGGGCACGCCGTGGCTCAATTTACTCACACTGCTTAAACCGTTATCTTTTTTCGGAGGCGCCAGCAAGTCGTGCCAGATGTTCGGTGAAGATTTACAAAAACAACGACACTGACTTTTGGCGCAGGTAGCAAGCACATCGCCGCGATCTCGAATTTGCAACAACACAATCCAAGGTACCAAACTCGCAAATCGTACCAAAAACAACAACAATTTTAAAGGGAACTGCGCGGCTGGCGTAGACTTCTGCACTAAAGAAAAAACGTTTGGGTTTCTTTTGCAGTCGTATTTCTTAGGCGGACAAAAATGGATGAACATATTGAAAGCTCCCAACTTCAGATGAGATATTTCTTTACGAAAATTACTAATTACAATCGATTTTGACGAATTAATAAAGAAATATATATTTTTGACCAATTAATTAACAAATAAATTTATTCTACTCAAAAAGTTTTTGTCAGTGTTTTTTCTCTGCTCTGATGGCATGCGGTCTAATGCAGTTGTGAATAATGCAACTAACTTATTGTGTTGATGGAAAAATGTTTGAAGTTGTTCCACAATGGATCTTTTCACTGAGTTGTTGAGTGCACAACGCTGATCGACTTCTCTTTTTGAATTGCCCATAAAATATTGTACACCCAGTCGTTTTTTTACACAATCTTTTTTTACGCGGATTTTTCACTTTAACGCGATTGCGATTGCGATTACTCTATGTGTATCAATTATTGCAAATCTAGTCATTAGTCATTTAGTTAGCGGTTACCATTTTTACGCGATATTTTTTTACGCGATTAGTTTTTTTTTTACGCAGAACCAACAATCGCGTTAAAAAAGGACTGGGTGTACATATTTGCAAAAATGTATAGTCTTCATCAGGCACTGGCAATAAGGAACCTGTTCTATGATATATTTGACCCGGAATCTGCAAGAATATTAATTTGTATTTAGGTAATTATGGAGCAAATTGTTTACCATTATACTTACTTACCTTGAAAGTAGGTAAACAATTTTCTCGAATAACTTTAGTTGCGCCAAATGACGTCATTTTAAAGCAATTATTGTGTTGCTGGATATGAGTCAAAAAATGATTAGAATCTGGCCCATTTCCTGAAACCAATGAATGTAGTGGCTCTGGTGGTGGTACCAATGCAACATAATCCAGGGGCTTCTTTTTTGAATTTCAATTCATTGCAATGTGGACACACAATAATCATTAGTCCAATAGCAACAATTTGCTCTGAACTATAATCAATTGCCACATTATAACTGAATGCAGCTCTATGGGGATTAAACATAACATTTCTATGTAGATTTCGATTCCTTTGAAGTTAATTTCGCGGTTCGAATTGCTCATAAGTTAGATTTGCTCTTATATATCTTTAACATGCCATATTTCGAGTTCTGCGGTTTATGTTTGTATGTACGTCTGGTTTTTGGCATTGTTGGTTTCTTGTATTGGTTTCTGTGAAGTCACCAAAAGTTACCAAAAAATGATATGAAGTGAAGTGAACTTACCGTAACTAACAAACACTTATTAGCAAACAAAAAACTTCTTAGTCTTTAAAACAAACGAATTTAATGTGTTGTCTAAATATCAACCAATTTCTAAACGCAACTATAATATTTGACAACCAACCCCCAGACCACTTTGATTTGTTTGTGTATAGGAAATAGAAAAGGGCTGTTTTTATTGTTTTCGCGGCAACTTGAGAACGCTTTGCTTAATATTTTTTTCCGTAAGTACCTTGTACAGAGTATTAGAAAACTAGAAGCCAATTCGGTCAAGCCGTTTAGATGTTAAGTTCTGACAACGGAAAACGGGTTTAATTTTTAAATATGTACATAAAAGTATTTTATGTTTGGCTGCATGTCAAAGCTGAAGTCTTTATTGATAGAAGTTTCTCTTAGTTTATTTCATTAAATTATTTATTGTCTATTATGTTTTCTTTCGGGTATCTAAATCTTTTTTGGCTTTTTCTATATTTGTGAGCTCATCTCGTTTTTATCTATTTAACGGAATACTTCCTTTTATATATTTTTTTTATTTCATGTTTTAATTGTTTAAGTGTCAATGCTATATCTGGTTCAGACCTATAAAAATGTTCATCTATATATGTTAGTCCATAACCAACATCATTCAAAGAAGTTTAAAAATACAGAATAATTAAATAACCTGATAACGCCAAATTGACATAAACGACAAATTCGAATATTTTATGAATAATAATAATTATTATATTGTCAATAGCTCAATGAATTTTAAAGATTTAAACAAACAACAGCTATTTTCCAACACACCTTTATATCAAAAAAAGAATTTACACATTAATTTTATTTAACCAAATTTTGTAACAAAAATTAATAAAAATTGTGAATTATTAATAAAACGATTGAAGGAAAAAATATTATACAATTAAGCAAATGTACACTCAAAATAAAAAGCATAAAATTCACTACTTCAAAAGCTATAAATGAATAAAAATTTATTTTATAAAGCTCCTATCACGCATATTATCAAGAATCTATAGTTAGTCAACAAAAATAAGATATAGTCTATAAATGTATTGTATTATTATAGTTATAAGCATAACAATTTTTGTAATATTCATCTATAGCCGCCTAGCCAACCACAAGGAAGTTGTAGTTAAATTCAACAAGGATGATAAAAATTCTAAAGGAGGGGCGGGTGGGACATCTGCCAATAAGCAAGATAACGAAACCCCAATACAACCGGTATACCCTTTCATACCCATAACGAAACCACTTTACAACAGGTATACCCAAAGATTTATAAACAACATTTCAGAGCCTACTGTGGGAATAATATAAATCAGTTAGACACAAATCCATTATTGTCATTATTATCGGCATCCAGACATAAACCATTCACACGCCTCTATCGACGATAGTACACATAAACATCGAACTCCTTTTCAAATTCATAAACAAGTTTCCATCTTGGGATAAATCGGCTCATTTAAAAGATAATTGGCCATACTTGATGCGAAAGGGGGCAAATATACGAAGATCCCTTTAAGGAACATTAAATTTAATGAGTAACAGATAGCAATTGATGCGACTATACTATTGGCAAAAGTCAAAGCTGTCATTATACGTCGATCCTCCAACGTGCAAACATTGTGGAGAAGGTAGCGGGATAGAGGGTCACAAAATCCAATTTTAAGAACTTGGCCGGGTCAGGCAGCAGCACGGCGTTTAAATGATGTTAAATAATGTTTATGTAATGTTTAGTGTAATTTTTATTTATTAGGCTTAAGTTTGTACAAAAGCGTAGTTGATCGCAAGCCGACTCTCTCTCGGCCGCTCGATTCAACGGGCTTTCTATAGAAAGTTTCAGCTCGGCAATGTCTTTTCGGGCCGCCTTCTTTGTGAATTTACTTGAGTCCCTGCATGCACCATAAGCTGGTTTATCGTTTGATCATCCGGCTTCATCTGCATGCAGGAATAAACATTTATAACGTTTTAAATTATTTAAATTTTGCGCTTTATTTTACTGGCATTGAAAACCCTCAATGACCAAACAAACTTTTTCTGGAGCCGCTCTATTCTGTTGGAGAAAACTTATAAAGGCAGTATAAAGTCTAAGTGACCAGAACCAGAAATTTGTATTTGGTGTCGAGTAAGACAGCTCTTTAGCTGCAACACTATAATTTTCGATGGAATAAGCCGCAGACATCAAGAGTCCGCTTACTGTAGCGTGAAAACAGAAATTTAGAAAAACCTAAATGTAAAAATCTTTAATTTAATTTATTAGGAGAAGATTAGGGGTGCACCATTAAAAAAACTCATTCTCCTGTAAAAAGTAACTGTCACTAATACAACTAATGGCCTTATAATGGATTCTAAGCTGATCCGCGTACATCAGGAAGAATGAATGCACTTAACGAAACCAGGAAGAGATGTCATTAATGAAGATAATAAATAGGAGCGGCCCAAAGGAGAGTCCTTCCATCAATGATATCACACAATTTCCTGTGCCTTCAATTAGGCCACAGTCCAATATATCCACATTAATCACATTGAGAAAAGGCTCAATATTAAGAAGAGTTTCATGATGATTCCAAGAACCTTCGGCTCCATGTTAGAGGCATAGTATTTTGTAAAAAGTTCAGAAACGACCTGATTCGTATCGGCTACTAAATAAGCATAACAATTAGCCATCCGATGTTGAATTTTACTATTAACAAACCGCCAAAAAGTTTTAGAATTGGATCGGAGGCTAGCTTAGACATCGGATATATTCTGGGTGTTAAGAAACTTATTAAGGAATATAAAGTCCCGTTTAAATTGCTGGTACTGGTCTCATGCTCAAAGCTCCCATTCTTCTTTGCAGGCTTTCTATGCAGAAACCAACTGACTTTTACCAACATAGGCCAAAAGCCATTGTTGAAGACTCAAGGAAAAAGTTGCTCCGGAACTCCCAGCTTAAAGTTAACGAAATTTAGGGCGTTGATGTCCGCATCTTTTTTAACCATCATAGCACAGGCTAAATCACTCGGCTCCATGCCGAGTAGAAAAAACTTGAAGCTGGTCGCAGCTCAATGTTTATCCCACAATGTGCCTATTAGTGTTGATCCGCTTCTTCTTTCTGATGAGAAATGTAATGCGTAGTTTATTTTCCCAAAATAGTTTATTAAAGTGGACTGTATAGAAGCTGCGTGTTCTCGAATTCACTGCTAAAGAATAACTGACTTAAAAACTAAATGCGACGCAGCGCCGTAATGCGTATAAAGAAAAGAAAGAAAAAAACGAAGACTAAGAAATGACGACGCGTCGATCTGCATTGCCATGGTAACTTGGTATTCATATGTTAAGTGGAAGATGCATGTTGCTCAGCTTTTCAGCAACATGAATATAAGTCACCTTGAATATTGGCAACGTCGCCAGAAAAGATTCCGTTTCTCAACATCCCGGCCCGCCCTAAAATATCGTTTCTGAACGAGGTAGTATAGCAATCTTGGTTATGGGTCGAGTTGCTTCTGCTTCAATTTGACAGCCCGAACCATTCCGTCAGCTCCAGGGTACGTTGCGATTACCTTTGCAAGTGGCCAGGAAGCTAGTGGAGTATTCGAATCCTTGATGAGGACGACGGTTCCCAATTCCACATTCGGCTGCGGTGCTTTCCATTTGGGACGTTGTTGTAGCGTAGTGAGGTATTCCTGGTGCCAGCGCTTCCAGAATCCTTGGGAGAGTGCTTGAACGCCTTGGCCGTAGTCCAGTCGATTTTCAGGATGTGGCTCAGGTCCCCTTCAGGAATGGTTGTAAATGATCTGCCTATCAACAGGTGTGCTGGAGATAGATATGTGACATCGGTGTCCGGTGTATGGTACAATGGTCTCGAGTTTACCACTGCACTAATTTGAGCTAGTAAGGTGTGCATCTGCTCGAACGTCAGGATAGTGTTGCCAATGATGCGGCGCAGGTGAAGCTTGACTGATCGAACGGAGGATTTTTTCCTCCCCAGTGAGGTACATATGGTGAAATGAAAACCCAGTTAATGCCTTCGTCTGCCAGAGTCTGTGAGACCAGGTCTCTGTGCGTTGTAGATGCCAGAAGTTGTTGCATCTCATCCATTGCTCGCTTTGCTCCGACAAAGTTTCTACCGTTGCCACTGTAGATCTGTGCGCATTTCCTCGTAGTGACATGAATCTTCTGAGGGCTGCTAGAAATGCCTCTGTGCTAAGCTCAGTAGCGAGTTCCAAATGTAGTGCCGAAGTGACGAGGCACACAAAAAGGCATATGTATCAAAAAGCATCTGATACAGTTGTGAGTGACCTTCCTTATCAGATTTCGTGCACCAATAATCCAATAACGTTGACGAGTTATTACAAATAGTGCCGATGTACCTGGGTGCATGTTTACCCAGTGCTCGTGTTCCAGGAGCAGCTTCGTAATGCGCTGAGCCTTTAGCAGCAGTATCGGGTGTTTGACTTCTTCCGGTAGTTTAGATTGTCTCAAGCGCGCGCCAACTCGTAGTAGGTCATCCGAACCAATAAACGGTGCAAGCTTTGATAACTGCGACCTGTTTCGCAGTGGTTTATTCGTCTGGAGAAGCATTCGGTCTTCTCCAAAGCACGCCTGTGCGTTTAGCAGGCATACAAGTCGTGCTGCCTTGATCCTCAAAAGACAGTGTGGTTCATTCTGCTCGGTTTCGTGTCTTCTTTAGTCGTCGGATAAAGCGTAGAACATAGCCCACGGTATGTACCAGCTTCTGCCAGGATTCTGCCTTAACAAGGTCGTCAAACGTTGATAATGAATTGTCCATCTTCTCGCGAGTGAACATGGCTGTGGTCCTCAATTCGCCTTGTGCATGATGGTCTGAAAAATTGAAACAAGTTTCAGAGTTTTGTATCTATGCGGTGTACAGCCATGGTGGCCCGTTCCACCACAGGTGAAATTCTAGTAGTTGGGAAGTCGTCATTCCCCTTGATGCGCAGTCGGCGGGGTTCTCCTTTGAGCTTACGCGATGCCAAGTATGTCGTGGCAACGTTTCCAGAATTTCCGAAGTGCGATTTGCGACGAAGGTTTTCATCTTCGATGGTGGATATGATAGCCAGGATAAAACAATAGTTGAATCGCACCATGCAATAACCTAAAATTCC